AGTCTCTATTTGTTTTCACCTAGGGTAACGTCTCGTTAGACTGTTATGACTGTATATATAGAAAACTCGATGAGAAGAGAACCCGGGGCTTTTTAAATTAGAATATGAGGGAGATGGGCAGGGAGATACCCATGTGCAGCAAAACTTATTACTGTTACGGTGAAAATAATAAAAACCAGAACGAAAAGCCTTTCAAAGCACAACACATTTTTTAAAAAAAAAGACACATTTTTAAAAGTACTCGATACACAAAAGCCACGGGAAAGGACAAATATAGTCCTTCAATTACATGATTTCGCCCATTTATACATTCAAATAACACAAACAATGTTTGCCTTATTTATACATTAAAAGGAAAGTACATGATGATAAAGTGTCTACATCACCCCTAACCATTTTAATGTATAACTAAATATGTAACTATTAGTATTGTTTATACCAATGTAATTTTTATATGTAACTATTTATGTTGTTTATACCTATGGAATTTGTATATGTAACCATAAAAGCCAGTGCTGCTGATGAATGATTGAAATTATGCTTTACATAATGATGTTTTAAAAAATATGTATTTATATATAAAATATTATACGTCTTCCAGTTATTTGTTAAAAAGGGAGAGTTCAGAGAGGCACACCCACTCCGCCCTTCCAGCACAAACCTAACTCAACTATTTTTTTAAAAACGGAACATCAGGGTATGAAGGACACAGAGGTCATGCAGGCAGGGTGGTGACAGCAGGGTATGAAGGACACAGAGGTCATGCAGGCAGGGTGGTGACAGCAGGGTATGAAGGACACATAGGTCATGCAGGCATGGTGGTGACAGCAGGGTATGAAGGACACAGAGGTCATGCAGGCAGGGTGGTGTCAGCAGGGTATGAAGGACACAGAGGTCATGCAGGCAGGGTGGTGTCAGCAGGGTATGACGGACACAGAGGTCATGCAGGCAGGGTTGTGTCAGCAGGGTATGAAGGACACAAAGGTCATGCAGGCAGGGTGGTGTCAGCAGGGTAGAAAGGACACAGAGGTCATGCAGGCGTGGTGGTGACAGCAGGGTATGAAGGACACAGAGGTCATGCAGGCAGGGTGGTGACAGCAGGGTATGAAGGACACAGAGGTCAGGCAGGCAGGGTGGTGACAGCAGGGTATGAAGGACACAGAGGTCAGGCAGGCAGGGTGGTGACAGCAGGGTATGAAGGACACAGAGGTCGTGCAGGCAGGGTTGTGTCAGCAGGGTATGAATGACACAGAGGTCATATATTTTATAGACCAAACGGCACTTGGTATGTGATATGGTCAGCATCACGCCGGCCGGCTTTGGACCACTAACTGACGTCGGTGGGTGTGTACCCGGTGACTTTTTTCAATTTCAGTGCATCTTGGGCAGATGCTATCACCTCTAGGACTTTCCATTTCTTACCTGTCTTTAGAGAGGGCTGGGCGGGACAGCTGCCACGGTGGAGAGTCTTGCCTTGACGACTTAACTCTTTGAGTCCCAGGGGGTTTAGCATCACAGGCCCAAGGGGTAGTCACAAATATCCTGAGTTCAAATCCGAAAAAAGCCGGGCTTTTTTTTTTTTAATAACCTAGTCTTTAATGGGTACCAGATAAAGCCCGAGGAAGTAAAGGCGATCGGCGTGATGTTTGCGAAAACGCGTGGAAGCTATTGAAAAGGGTCCTTCAGGTTTGCAATTCCCCAAGTCCGGTCGGCGCTTCTCACCGTTCTTGAAATCAGCACAGACGGTTTTCTGTCTAATTCCACCACAATGGGTACATCCAACCGCTTATTTCAAAATTATAAACCATGCTCATAACCACTGAAGCACAGACGCCAATGCAGAGTAGAATAAAAGAAAAAAATGGCCGCGCCCAACCTCTTTAGATTGCATATAACTACGGGCATAAGGGATACAGCACCGAATGATACAACCAATTTAATGGTTTATGAACCACACCCAGGAATTCCAATGCGAAATTAACATTCTAACTGTAATGTACTGCAGCAACTTCAGACAGATTGGTTACGAAGTCAAATAAACCACTGATACAGTGGGAGAATAGCAATATAAAAATAGCTTATGGTAATTCGTACTGAAGAGTCAATGGATTCCAGAACGTGGTTACAACTTGCAAGACAGATAAAAAAAAATAGTAAGGGAAAGGCGAAGAGATAAATATCTGGATTGGTTAGCCATATAGATGGGGCAGGACATGAGCACTGACCTGATTAGTGATTGCAGTGCTCGTGTGAGCTGTCGAAACATGGCCATCTACGATTATGGGCAAACAAATATAATATCAAAAGAGTAATACCCAATAGCAATTCGTACTTTTGATTGAATAAAAGCGAGTACACTGTTGCAATTGGCAAAACTGATGGGAAAAAGAGCAAGAGAAGGACAACGTGATAAATATCTAGATGACCAAGCCATATGGATGGAGCGGGACGCAAGCACTGACCTAATTTGTTTTTCTAGTGTTCGTGTGAGATAGAGAAACATCACCATACAAAGCTTTCGGCAGGGCACACGATGATGATGACTGAGGACAGCTAGCTGAAAGAGAGACTTATATTCGAACCTTCGGTAAGGGGATTCTTTTAACTAAAGTCTGTGATTGAAGAAGCTCAGAACAGTGCACAGGCTCTGTAGCACCGTGGAGGATCGTGTGATTTTTTCCCTGCAGCGCCATTAGGATACTCTTCTCGATCTCCAACTACAATGAGATTTTTTTTACGTTCGCAACAATGCACACGGCCGTTCGATCTCACTACACAGAGACATGGGAGAATTACTAGAAGCCCAAGTCTACCTGAAAAAAATCCCAGCCGTTTCTGGGAATTAAACACAGAACCTCTAGCACTCGAGACATTGAGACCACGCAGTCCCCTTCTTCAAACTTCTGTATACATACAACAACATTGAAGCAAATACAGATGATAGCTGTCTATATTATGGTCACTTAAAACACTGCCCAACTACGAAACATACAACCATATCATTTGACGCTGGAACTAAAATAGTAATTAGAAACTGACTCCACTCGAAGGAATAGCTAGCTCTAGACGAAAGAGCTAATAAGGGATATAATGAAAAGGCAACAAAATCTATAAAAGAATATCCGCTTTGGCAAACCACTAGACAAAACTATGCCTCAGTGTTCATTAAATCTTCAAATCTTTTCCTTCAGTCAGTGACATTTGAATCATTGATTTTTCCTCACATCATTCGCCATGTTGTATCTTGTTTGCAGAAGATTATATACACTACAAAAGCCTCTTGTGCAAATACTCATTACAGAAACAACAAAGAATGTATATCAATATATGTCAGGTCCTTTAGATTAAATACAACTGTAGTATGTATTTAAGGCATCTCTAAATGTTCCATCATCTTTAAAAACAAAACACAAAATCCTAGATGCAATGAGGGAGCCGACGTGGTCTAGCGACTAGACACTCGCCTGTGGATCGGAAGGTCTTGGGTTTCTGTTCCTGACAGGGGCAGGACTTTTGCAAAAATGACCGTGGCCTTGATTTGGTACCAAGTACAGTCCTGGGAAGTAAAGGCGACCGGCGTGATGCTGACCATATCACCCTTCAAGTGCCGTTTTTCTATAAAATATATGATTAGCCCTATACATCCAGGACGCCTGAAGGTCATAGAAAATGGCCCATTTCTTTATTTAGAAGCAATCAGTTCCATTTAGAAGACGGCCTTCTGGAACAAAAATCACGACCATCTCTAAAGCTGCTCATCTCTTGTGTAGAATAAACCTTATGTGTTTATTTCTTTATAATGAATTGTCAGCAAGCAATAATTCCATCTATTGAATCATCTATGACGTTTAAATGTAAATGCTATGGACGCTTTTTACGAATTAGTTATTTAGAACACAAAACTAACAAATTTTTTAGAGACAACATAAAAAAAAATTGTGCAGGACAGCAGTAGCATCTCTAGGGGTTGGTGAAACGTCGCAAGCTAGCTTGGGTCATACACGTGGTGTGAAATATGATTCAACTGTAAAGACTGTGTTTAAAGAAACATTGAGAAAGTGGGGGATTGGGGGGGGGGGGGTTGTCGAAGAAAAGGAGAGCAAAGAAGAATCTGGAATGACAACATCAAGAAGTAGACCGGATAATATATCACTCCCTTATTCATCTAGCGAAAGACATAGAAAGATTGCAGGTTTTATTTACTACTGCTTCCATCGATACGCCTTCACGACCCTAACGTGTCAAGGGTTATGTGATGTTGTTAACGATTGTGTTTCTATTTAATCTGTTTCTTTCTTCTGCAGAATTGACAGTAAGTGTACGTCTTCACCTCCAGATTGGGAAAAGCAGCAGCTTCAGTTCAGTACCGACACACAGCACTCGGGACATTCTCATACTCGCTCAGTCCCATCTTCAGCAGCAAGCTGAGAGTTCCACTGCCAGTAGCGGTAGTAGAAGTTAGACGATATGTTACATTTCTTGCCTTTCCTATGAGGATAGAGTACCGGCCAGATCACCTAGTCACTTCGCAGTAAATTATTTCTCTTCAGACCGCAATGATTGATTCCGACTTCCACATGGCTCACTTGCTCCCAAAGTGTTTTACTATTTCACTTTGGCGGGACAGAAAGAGCGTGTGTGTGATTTTGATTCTGGTTCTAACGATTGTCACATTTTTGTCGGGTGTATCATATGTGTCCAAGTATCTAGCTAAGATACAATTGTCTGATAATGACCATGCGTCGAAGGAAACGGCGTCAAAGAACCTGTCTATGTACCCACAGAAAGATAATGTAAAGAGTTCTGGAAATGCCTCTCATCACGCGAAGCTGAATAAAAAATACGTTGTGGATTATAGAAAAAGCCAGCCTCAATCTCCAGTCGCTCAGCATATCAATGGGACCGACCACTCACAGGACAAACTGTCGCATTTTCGATCAAAGTTTCCAGAAGCATATGCTGTACTTCTGAGGAAAACAATCAGTGTCTTTAACTCAGTTATGACTGAAAATAACATAACATACATGATGTATGGAGGAACACTGATTGGCTCCTACAGACATCATGGTCCTACACCCTGGGATGACGACGTCGACTTTATTCTTCCACTTGCAGCACAAGATTCTTTTCAACAAGCATTCTCACGGATAAGCCACGAATACACCCTCAAGACGGCTCCAAAATCTTCCTGGAAAATATTCTCAGTCCACGCTGACCCTATCCGCGGCTGCAAATGGCGCTGGCCGTTCCTGGATATCTTCTTTTTCGCCGAGAACCAAACTCACATCTGGGATGTATCCCCGTGGTACTACAAAACGTTTTCCTTTCCGAAGACGATAATATTTCCGTTGACGAGAAGACCTTTCATGAATCTAACATTGCCGGCTCCTCACAACCCTCGTGCTGTACTCAATACAAACTACGATATTGGCTTATGTCAATCTTTAGCGTGGAATCACAGATTGGAGCGGCCGGGTCATGAGGTCATTGTTCCATGTTCCTTGTTATTCTCGAAATTTGCTTTCGTGCAAAGGGTTTACATGAATGAAGGTTGCAATGAAACTTTAGTTCAAAATGGGGAAATAGTCAGCTACTTCTTTGATGAAGGACAGAATTGTTGACTAGAAACGAATTCTTCCTCCTCCCCCCACCACTTTCCAATTTTTTCGTGGCCTAACTATCTCTCACTCCCTCTCTCTCTCTCTCTCTCTCTCTCTCTCTCTCTCTCTCTCTCTCTCTCTCTCTCTCTCTCTCTCTCTCTCTCTGTCTCTCTCTCTGTCTCTCTCGTTCGCTTGCTCTGTCTCTTTTTCTAATTTTAACGCTTTTAAAATAAAGTTTGCTCGTTTTCTCTCACTCTCTCTCTCTCTCTCTCTCTCTCTCTCTCTCTCTCTCTCTCTCTCTCTCTCTCTCTCTCTCTCTCAATTTGTAACTCTTTATGAAAAAAAGTTCTTTGGCTGGTTTGTTTGTTCTCTCTCTCTCTTCTGACAGCTAATAATTATGTCTTTCCTGATAAAAAACAATTCTGTCTTTTAACTAATAGTTGACAGTTATGATTTTACCTCTCTTTCTAGCTCAGACGTAAACACGATTGTCATACTGCGTTGACAAAAATGACTGACAACTGGCACCTTAACATCAACAATGGCAACATTTGCGGTGCGGCATTTGTTGACTATACGAAAGCTTTTGACATGATTGACAATATTTTAATTATTAAACTAAAGACCTTAAAAACTAACAATAATTTAGTGACATTAATAAAGTCATTTGTGTCTGATAGGTAGCAGGTAGTTTCCCTCAGTAAAACGTTTTTCAGAACCCAAACAGTTAAATATGGGCATTCCTCGGGGCTCAACATTGGGTCCACTACTATTTGCTATATATATTATTGACCTTTCGTTACATCTCAGTTTAACATTTGATCTGTTTGCTGACGACTGTACAATGTACACTAGTCATGACAACTGTAATGAATTAGAACGTTTTTTACAGAAATAAATAGACAGGCTTATAAAATGGATCAATGATAATCGTATGCAAATTAAGATAGATAAAGCGTAATCCATGGTGATAACAACTAGGCAAAAACTACAAACACTGGCTTTACAGCTCTTCATTAACAAGCTTTCTATTGTTAATGTTGTTGAACAAAACACATTAAGTGTTTTCATTGAAAACCATTTAACTTGGAGTGTGCCTAAAAGTGTATGTATGGGTAACTGTATAAGTCTGTGTGTATTTCTTTGTGGGCCTGTGTGTGTATGAGTAGAGGTGTATGTCTGTATGTGGGCGTGTGTCTGTTAGTGTGCCTGTGTGTGAGTCTGTATATGTGCCTGTGTGTGCGTGCATGTGTTTGTGTCTGTGTTCGTGTCTCTGTTTTGGTGCGTCTAAATGTGTGTTTTTATTGTGCATATGGGTGTATATCTGCAAGCCTGTCTGTGTGCGTGTTTGTGTGTGTGTTTTTATTTGTGTATTTGTATGTGTGCTGTGTGTGTTTCTGTGTGTGTGTGTCTATGTGTGTATATGTGTGAGTGTGGCTGCATGTTTGTCTATGTGTGTGTGTGGCAGTGTGTGTCTGTCTTTTTGCGTGTATCTATGTAGGTGTTTCTGCATGTGTTTCTGTGTGTCTATGCCTGCGTGTGTCTGTGGCTGTGCGTTTCTCTGTGTGTGTAGCTTCGTGTGTATGTATGTGTGTGTTTTTTTTTTGATAATGTGTGTGTGTGCATCTGCGTGTGTGTGTCTGTGTAAGTATTTGCAGGCCTGTGTGTGTGTTAGTATGTCTGTGTATGTCTATGTGAGCTTCTATGTGTGTCAGTGTGTGTGTGTGTCTGTGTGTGCCATTATGTGTCTGCTATGTGTGTGGCTGCATGTGTGTTTCTGTGTGACTGTTTGTACATTTGTGAGTGTACTTGTATTACGTGTGTATGTGTGTGCCATTATGTGTCTGTATGTGTAGATGTGTGTGTATCTGTGTCTGTCTGTGGTTGTGTGTGGCTTTGTGTGTATCTGTGTGTGTCTCTGTGGGTGTGTCTATTATATAATGTCTATGTTTGTGTCGGTTTGTTTGTCTACTTGTATGTCTGTGTGCGTTTGTGTGTCTTTGTGTGTATCTGTGTGTGTCTCTGTGGGTGCGTCTATTATATTATGTCTATGTTTGTGTCGGTTTATTTGTCTACTTGTATGTCTGTGTGCGTTTGTGTGTCTACGTATGTAACTGTGTGCGTGTCTGTGTGTGTATCTCTATATGTGTGAGTGTTGCGTATGTTTCTGTGTGGGTTTATGTCTGTGTGCGTAGGTGTCTGTGTTTGTATGGTCTTTTTGTGCCGCTACATAAAGGTAAAGGTGTGTATTTGTATGTGGTATGTGTGTGTGTGTGTTTGTATAGCTGTGTGTGTCTGTATGTGTCTGGGTTGTATGCGTGTGTGTTTTAGAGTATGTGTTTGTGGGAGTGTGTCTGTGTGGGTGACTGTGTGTATTAGTGTATGTATGTATGTATGTATGTATGTATGTATGTATGTATGTATGTATGTATGTATGTATGTATGTATGTATGTATGTATGTATGTATGTATGTATGTATGTATGTATGTATGTATGTATGTATGTATGTATGTATGTATG